ACCTGAAACTAGTTGGATCTCAGTGGAGCACGTGGGATAGACTAGAGCAGGCCGGTTATATCGATTAGGAGATACACGGGGCCAGTGATAATTGCGAGAAGACACATGAACAGGAATGGAGAAAATACACATGATTATAGCATGAGGGGCTAAAAAACTAAAGAAAAGAGAAATAAGACACCAGCTCAATCAGAGTAGGATTTGCCTCCTCTTTGCCTCCCTCGTGACTCCCGCAGGACTCCAATGTCTTTGTCAGTCTTACTCCCGCAGGACTCCAATGTCTTTGTCAGTCTTACTCCCGCAGGACTCCAATGTCTTTGTCAGTCTTACTCCCGCAGGACTCCAATGTCTTTGTCAGTCTTACTCCCGCAGGACTCCAATGTCTTTGTCAGTCTTACTCCCGCAGGACTCCAATGTCTTTGTCAGTCTTACTCCCGCAGGACTCCAATGTCTTTGTCAGTCTTACTCCCGCATGACTCCAATGTCTTTGTCAGTCTTACTCCCGCATGACTCCAATGTCTTTGTCAGTCTTACTCCCGCAGGACTCCAATGTCTTTGTCAGTCTTAGAGACTCCCGCAGGACTCCAATGTCTTTGTCAGTCTTAGACTCCCGCAGGACTCCAATGTCTTTGTCAGTCTTAGACTCCCGCAGGACTCCAATGTCTTTGTCAGTCTTAGATACCCGCAGGACTCCAATGTCTTTGTCAGTCTTAGACTCCCGCAGGACTCCAATGTCTTTGTCAGTCTTAGACTCCCGCAGGACTCCAATGTCTTTGTCAGTCTTACTCCCGCAGGACTCCAATGTCTTTGTCAGTCTTACTCCCGCAGGACTCCAATGTCTTTGTCAGTCTTACTCCCGCAGGACTCCAATGTCTTTGTCAGTCTTACTCCCGCATGACTCCAATGTCTTTGTCAGTCTTACTCCCGCAGGACTCCAATGTCTTTGTCAGTCTTACTCCCGCAGGACTCCAATGTCTTTGTCAGTCTTACTCCCGCATGACTCCAATGTCTTTGTCAGTCTTACTCCCGCAGGACTCCAATGTCTTTGTCAGTCTTCGGCTGTCTGACGCTGAAGCTGACACTCCAGGAAAGAGCTACCTAAAATAGACGCCTGATTGCTCAGTTCTCACAGCTGTAGGGCCACGCCCCTCTAATTAGTTAACTCTCTACAGCTGATGGGCGACAATAGACTGGCCCTGCCTATATTAATGCAGGCTTGAGTGCTGAGACCTGTGAAGCAGGTTTCGCCTGAGCAGATCTGAGATTTAAAATCTCTCAAAAGCGATTTAGCCGTTTAAGGTACAATACCAATTTATACAGAGTCGAATAAATGAAACAGAGAAGTCTAATTAAACAAGAATATAACTTACAGTGGTTGCTGCGTCAATAGGTAATGTCGTCACCGGGTCCAGATGCACACTGAGTTCATCAGATTTTAAATGCGGTATTTAAATGCTTTTTAAGGTACAAAATGACTGAGTCACGCGGTTGTACTTCACGCTATCAATAGACTGGCCGTGCCTATATTAATGCAGGCTTGAGTGCTGAGACCTGTGAAGCAGGTTTCGCCTGAGCAGATCTGAGATTTAAAATCTCTCAAACGCGATTTAGCCGTTTTAGCTACAATAACAATTATACAGAGTCGAATAAATGAAACAGAGAAGTCTAATTAAACAAGAATATAACTTACAGTGGTTGCTGCGTCAATAGGTAATGTCGTCACCGGGTCCAGATGCACACATCTAAACTCATCTAAACTATTCAGTATTTGTGTCTCTATCATGACATAAAGACGAAACTCCTCTCCAGAGGTGAGATGCCGCCATCACTGGTAACTGATTAACTGCTACCAGCTGAAGACTTACTTTCCTCTTCTTTAAAATGTTCTTATGTCCATGTTGTCTGGGGGAGAAAACATATCAAACCAAGAGATCGTCAGCTTTGATTTTCGCTGTATTAAGCATTTCCTGAACACTTGGTGTGTGTGCCTTACCTCCGCTACCGGCATCACTTCATACAACAGGTCTGAGCTGTCCAACTATGGCAACACTCCTTGAACATGCGCGCGCTATGGGAGAATCTGCCTTGGTACAAAGTAGCAGTGAAAACATGGAACGGAGTTTCATTGATTTGGGCATTCTCTCAATAAGCAAGTGGAATGGATTTGATAGTGACGCTCTGACACAGCGCTCGACAAAGTGCGGCGAGTGGAGATCGATTCACGGACTCTCCGCATGGTAGAAGTTGGGGGGTCTAAACGAATCATTTGAAAGGTGGGGGGGACTTGTCCCACCCTCATATAATGGCTGCGACGCCCACACACACACACACACACACACACACACACACACACACACACACAACACACACACACACACACACACACACACACACACACACACACACACACACACACACACACACACACACACACACACACACACACACACACACACACACACACACACACACACACACACACACACACACACACACACACACACACACACACACACACACACCACACACACACACACACACACACACACCCACACTCCTCCCTGCTGGGAACAGAATGAATATCTCTCTTTGTTTAGAGGCACCGGCTCTGAATGCTGAGCATGAGATGATTAAAGCTCTGCACGCTCGCTGCAGGTTTGTTCTAACGCTGGCTCTGGAATACATTTCTGTTATTGCCGAAAGATATGACGACAGATCTGAGAAACACTGTGTGTGTGTGTGTGTGTGTGTGTGAGAGAGAGAGAGAGAGTGTGTGTGTGTGAGAGTGAGTGTGTGTGTGAGTATGTGTGTGTGTGAGTGTGCGTGTGCGTGGTGTGTGTGTGTGTGTGTGTGTGCACGTGTGTGTGAGTGTGTGTGTGTGTGTGTGTGTGTGTGTGTGTGTGTGCCACTGCAGGTATATTGTTCTTCCTCACAGGAAGCTCTAACACAGCTCAGACGTGCAACGTGTGAAAGTCTTTCTGCAGAAAATCATCTCGTGGATATTTTATATTTGATCTCTTTGTCAGACACCTGATCACCTGATCACCTGATCACCTGATCACCTGATCACCTGACCACCTGATCACCTGACCACCTGATCACCTGACCATCTGACCACCTGATCACCTGACCACCTGACCATCTGATCACCTGACCACCTGACCATCTGACCACCTGATCACCTGATCACCTGACCACCTGACCACCTGATCACCTGACCACCTGATCACCTGACCACCTGATCACCTGACCACCTGACCACCTGATCACCTGACCACCTGATCACCTGACCACCTGATCACCTGACCACCTGATCACCTGATCACCTGACCACCTGATCACCTGACCACCTGACCATCTGACCATCTGATCACCTGACCACCTGATCACCTGACCACCTGACCACCTGATCACCTGACCACCTGACCATCTGACCATCTGATCACCTGACCACCTGATCACCTGATCACCTGATCACCTAACCACCTGATCACCTGACCACCTGATCACCTGACCACCTGATCACCTGACCACCTGACCACCTGATCACCTGACCACCTGACCATCTGACCACCTGACCACCTGATCACCTGATCACCTGACCACCTGACCACCTGATCACCTGATCACCTGACCACCTGATCACCTGATCACCTGACGCTGCACAGGAGTAACAACCAGATGTATGTAGAAACCACATGACCTAACTGCAGTTATGCAGTTTCTCTCATGCTCTTTTATTCTGTTAATCTAACACTGAATGATCCATAAGACTCCGCACTCAGGCCCCGTCCACACGGAGATGAAAACGAACCGAGGTCGATATTAAAAAGGTCTTCCGTCCACACGAGACCGCTCGAGCCGCTGGAGACGCTGTAGACATGCCGGGCCTGTAAGTGGCGCTGTACCTCCGCCACGAAATACACCAAAAGCAGAGAATAAGACCCCCCGAGCATGGTTGCCATGGTTGCCTGGTTGCCCTTCTGGTTATTCTCCGATGTGGATTTAGCACAGAGAGGCGGGGTGAGGCGGGGGTGAGCAGGAGAGGCAGGGAGAGGCAGGGGTGAGCAGGAGAGGTGGGGTGAGGCGGGGGTGAGCAGGAGATGTGGGGGTGAGCAGGAGAGGCAGGGAGAGGCCGGGGTGAGCAGGAGAGGTGGGGTGAGGCGGGGGTGAGCAGGAGAGGCGTGGCTAAGATCGTTTAGGGTGTACACACGGTGCCGCAAGCGTTACGTTACCAGACCTTCCCACTTTGGGATGCGTCATCGTTTCAGGGCTCCGTGTCGGCCTCGCGTGGACGAACCGTCCTTACTATAAAGAACTGTAGCGGATAACACCCGCTTCGTCTCCATGTGGACGGGGCCTCAAGCTGGTGTCTATACCTATTGAAATGAAGATGTTATGTAAGAGAGAGGAAGCTCTTCTGATCAAGGTGTATAATCGAACTCTCACTGAATTCTGACACGACTCCAAGCTAGCTTTGCCCTTTGGTTTATAAGCACTTCATAGAGACAGGTGCTGAGCTAGTTTGCTTTGATCCCGCTGCTTCTGATGCACCTGAGTTTCGACACTGATACCAAACATGTCTCTTTTAGAAAATATTTTTAAATGTAAGAATCTGGTGTCGTTTCCTGGTTGCTGCGTGGGGTCTGCGAGACAGCGCGAAACTCAGCCTGAACTCAGCCTGAGCACCATGAATGCGGGAAGGGGGGGTGTTGAGGGGGCTGCAGCACCCCCATCTGCGAGGCTCCGCTAGCACCCGCACCCTCAATCACGGCGCAGTTTCGCTGCTGCTTCTAAATATGCAAATCTTCAGTGCATCAGTATTTAATATCGTCTTGAAACAATCAGCTTCACGAGAACTTCTCTTCTCCTGAATAAACGTCTAACAGAAGCAGAGTACAAGCTTTTGATTCTCATTGAACTACGTTACATCTCAAAGTGCAGCTCTAAATCCCCGTGGTTAGTGTTGTGTGTGTAGTGTGTGAGTTATTGGGTCGTACCATCATACGTGCCGCTCTCCAGCAGCAGGCCGCTCTCCTCCAGGTCCCTGAACTCCCCCACGCCGATGAAGTTGTAGTCCACTCCGGGAACCTCCCCCTCTCTGGGCTGCCGAGTGGTACCTTCCAACAGAAACACACGTTAACATGGAGGAAACACCCAGACAAGTGGACCGTACCATTCACTGACTATAGGGGGGTTATTTATTATAATCTAGTGTGTATCCAACATGCTCACTGGGATATGACTCAGTCCAAACACAGCCCTCTGGGGGGGGGTCTGTGTCTACATCATAAATACTGAACAGAGCGGGACCACAGCGTTTTGAATTCATTATTAAAATATGAAACGGAAAATAAATCCAGCACAAAGGAAGAGGAAGAGGAAGAGTAGATGATGATGATGAAGAGGGATTTAATTGCTCAGTTTTGCTCAGTGTGACCTGCAGAGCTGCTTCCACTCCTTCAGGATGTAATTAGACACTAACATTAACATACATTAGAGCAGGGGTTCCCAACCTTTTTTCCCAAGGGCCCCCCAAATGACTCGTGTTGGAATTTGCGCCCCCCCCCCCCCCCACACACACACACACACTAGGCGGGGGGGGGGGAAACATCGGTAATTAAAGTTTAAAAGTCTCAAAAATGCTACAACTACTGTCACAATATGGATGAATGATGTATTTTGTTAAAGGAGGATGAAAGCGTAATCAAGGAGCACTATTGGAGCGACTTTGATGGTTATTGGACTCAGGATTAATTCATTTGGATTCCCGCTGTATGAAGAAATTAAAGGACGGCGGAAGTGGAAACAATTCACAAAGGGATTAAACTGTTTAAAACACATGCTCAAAGTAAGCTGGATTTTTCCGATGTGTTTATGTGGATTCAAAAGTCGTGAATAATCTACAAAATGGAGGAGACCGATCTGATCGGAGCAACTGTGACAAATAATCCAACTGAAACCGGCATGGACAATGACTATGTTTTAAACATGCGCTTATCCAGACAAGGTTTGGACACTTTACGGGCAGAAGAAACATTTCTATTAAAGAAAGAATTATACATTTCTGTCTTTGTATGCCTTTAATACTAACTTGAATTGTTATTCAAATTAATCAATAAATTATTTTTTATATTTTATTGTAATGTAGAGACAAGGCCTTTTACAATTATATGTATAAAAAAAAAAAAAAAAGTCTAAATATGATATTTGGCCTCAAATCATCTGAGGCCTGGCGCCCCCCCTGCGATCTTTGGCGCCCCCCCCTAGGCCGAACATTTTAATTTTAAGATATTCTGAAAAAAGACAACATTTTAAGATTTTCTGAAAAAAATGTGAATTTAGAGATTTTCTGAAAAGAGTTGCATTTTTCGATTTTTCGATAAAAGTGAGAATTTAGAGATTTTCTGAAAAAGTGAGAATTAAAAAACTTCTGAATAAATGAGAAGTTTTTCATTTTCAGAAAAAGTAAGAAGTTTGAGATTTTATAAAAAAAAAAGAAAAAAAAACCCCTTGCTAAATCAAGTAAAATGTGATAAACAGCACCTGAACGCACCACTGCCCATTTCTGTGGTCTTCTTTAAGTTTCTCTCCTCAAACACACTGGAGCTCCTAAAGTCTCTAGATGGTTCCTCCAAAGTGACAGAAAGCTCCTCGGAGGCTCTGAACTCATGTTGTTGTGAAAATGATTTCACGCCTCCGCCTCGTCTCAGATGTGATCAGAGTTCTTCAGGATGAACCGCGCTGCAGGGACTTTACATTTAAATATAAAGGATCACGTCCTCAAAACTCATTTATATTCTGTGTCATCACGACTGCAGAGATACAATCTATTACTCTGCAATCTATTGCTCTCTCAAACAGGGAAACCTCAGGAGAGCCAAGGAGCCAAGAGGAGGAAATGCAGTCAGTTTCTGCTCCCTTCAATCTCAAGTGCATTT